AATTATAAATCTTGTATTTTAATATTTTTAAAAATAAAGAATAAAATAAAATAGTAAAATTAATGATTTAATTATATATTATTAATATTTTAAATGAAAATATAAATTATTCATGTTTTGTAAATTAAAATAAATGATCATATTAACATTTAAATAACAATTTATTGATATTTATAATAAATTATTAATGTAATAAGTATTTTAAATTAAATATTATAATAAAAATTATTTTTATCATTTATAACTTATTTCTTAATTATTTCTACTAATCAAACATTAGAATAATTTATAATAGCAATTCATGTCTTATTCCACTCTCATGAACCAAATTATATAATAACTATTCATATTTTATTCAATTCTTACAAAATAGTTATTTTATTTTCACTGTGTTCCTTTTTGCAAATCGAGTACATCCATAGTGATGATACCAATGATGATAAAGCCTATAACAAAGAACATGAGTTTGTTTATACTAAAAGTGATGATGGTTGTTATAATATATATGTCATTAGTTTTGTTTTATTTGTTATATTGTTATTGAACTTAATTATTATTATTGTAATGAATATTTCATAATAGGTTGTATTTTTTTAATATTTTTTATTGTACATATGAAACAAAATACTTAAACCAACAAAAATAACTAACAAAAGTTCCGTTAGTAATTTTTAATGGAATTTTGTCAATAATATATTACCAACAAAAATTTCATTAATAATTTTTAATGAAATTATGTCGATAACAATTAAATTACAAATAAAAATATCATTGATAATTTTCATTAGAATTCCGTCGATAATGATTAAATTATTAACAAAAACTTTGTTTATAATTTTCAATAGAATTCTATGGTAACAACTAAATTACTAATAAAAATTCCGTTAATAATTTTTAATGGAATTCCATCAATAACTTATTACCAATCAAAAATTCTATTGATAATTTTCGATAAATTTTCATTAGAATCATATTACTAACATAAATTTTTGTAGGTAATTTTTGACTTTTTCAATGGATTGATATTAAAATAATAAAAAATATTATCACTTTTTTAAACGAAATTATCTATTTAAAATTTTCAATGGATTTTCAACAACAAGCATTTTTGTTTTCAACGACGAAATTTTGAATGAATTTTTCTGTTAGAAACAAGTACTTTCGATGAAAATTTGACTTTTTCTTATCAATTTTTTCATTGAAATTAACATAATTTTTGGCTGTGTTAATGTATAGACAAATTATATAAGGCTTTTTTTTAGAAAAAAATAAAAAATATACAGTAAAACTTATATATATTAATATCCTTATATTATGAAAATTTATTAATTAATATAGATATTATTTAATTGATAAATTAATGATTTACATATTAATTAATAAAAAATTAATTTATCAAATATGTTTTAAATATTAATTTTTTTATAAATAAGTAAATTTTATTTGCTAATTGTCAATGTCAAAATAAACTTTGGGCTTTATTAAGTACATGAAACAATAGAAAATTAAAAAAAAATTAAAATAACCCCAAAGCCTACAAACATCCAATTTTGGGGAGATTGGACGTATAAATCTACTCTGCTTCAAAGGATCTAGCTACTGTTTTGGACAAAATGTGTTAAACACCCTTTTTTGTCCAAAATCATATACATTAAATGGACAAAAGTATTAAACACCTACTCTTGTTTAAACTATTAATTTAATACATGTATTATGTATTATGATTATATAAATATTACTTAATTATTGATTTATAAATTATTATTAATTTATATATTTATTTAATTAAAATAAGTTTATATATATAATTAATTTTATTAAATAGATATTTTTTAATAAATTAAAATTATATTTGATGTATATTTAATTAATATATATTTTTAAATTAAGTAAAAACATTTATAAAAACAACCTTCAAAATTTCTCATTTCAAAAGAACAAAGAAATCAATGCATACGGATGAAATATTAACGTACTAAAAAATTGTTAGAGATGTGATTTGAGGGTATATTAATTTATAAAAAAACAATTAATAAAAGTTTATTAATTTATATAATTTTGTTATATCGAGATTATTAATTTGTAGGGGATAGGTGTTTTATATTAGAAAGCGTATCTTTGGAAACCAATTTCTAATTTGTCGAACTGAAGAATGGAAGCAGAGAAGATGGCGGAGGAGCTGCAAAACGTTGAGGTTGAGATTCAAGACGTTGAAGGTGATCATTAATTAATTTTCGCCAGAGCGATTAATATGTCTTTGTTTGTGGAAATATGGATGAGTGTGTTGATTAATTGATGTATTGACTGTATTGTAACATTCCTGCAGACCAGATAAGGGCATTGCTGGAGAGGCAAGAGAAGTTGTATGAGAGGCAATCGGAACTGACAGCTTTGCTGGAAGCATGCCCTGTAGCAGTAAAACATGTCTCCGCTCGAACCACTGTGCAAGTGGAAGACTGGTCAGGACCATTTGACTGGGATTCTCGAGCCGATGATATTAGGTTCAATGTTTTCGGCATCTCTTCGTATCGTCCAAATCAGCGAGAGGTAGGTTACCTCACTCCATTATGTTTGAACACCCTCTGAGTCTTTTTGGGCATGGTATGACTCCAGAATCCATTTATATATAAGAAAGGAAAAAGCCCTAGGTTTGTCTGGAAATGAGGATTTAATTTACTTACTAATTAAATTAATGGTTTGTAGATCATAAATGCAGTGATGAGTGGAAGAGATGTTCTGGTGATTATGGCTGCAGGTGGTGGCAAGAGCCTTTGCTACCAGCTTCCCGCGGTCCTTCATCAAGGAATTGCTCTTGTTGTCAGTCCTTTGCTTTCTTTAATTCAAGATCAGGTCTTTCTCTCGCTCGCTCTTTATAAAATAGTATGGTTTTACATACTGTGTTGTTTGATCATTTATACCAAATTTTGACCGCAGTTAATAATCTCGATTCAGGTAATGGGTTTGACTGCCTTAGGCATTCCAGCATTCATGCTCACATCCACTACAAAGAAGGAAGATGAGAAGTTCATATACAAAGCCTTGGAGAAAGGCGAAGGAGACATCAAATTGCTGTATGTCACACCTGAGAAAATTTCAAAAAGCAAGAGATTTATGTCCAAGCTTGAAAAATGCTACCACGCTGCTCGCCTCTCTCTTATTTCTATTGATGTCAGTCTTCTTTTTCCTGCATCTTCTTTGCTCTTCATTTTCATGCATGTATCTTTGTTCATTAGTTCTTTTGCTTATTTTTATTTCTTATTCAGGCTTTTCCACACGTTTCTTTTAAAAATCATTCATGACTCCCTTATTATCAATTGTTATGGATTTAGTTTTAATTTTTAAATATTGGATATTTAGAGCTGCGAGGCCTATTAAAAACACCTGAAATTGGTAGTTTTGTAGTTTCTTCTAGATTTGAACCTTGACCTTTTCCATAATGATAGAAAGTAGCCGGAGGTTATGAACTTATGAACATTCTTCCTTGCGATGTTTTTATATCTTAATGTATTAGACACCCTAGATTTAATATATATAAGATCTACTGTGCTTCTTCCAAAATGTGTTGCAGCATTAGTTGTACTATGTAGTGAACATAATTTGATAGACAGCTGCAAGTTTCAGACAACTTAACTCTAATATTATTAACCCCAAGGTAAATATACTTAACAATATAAATGTATTGTTATTTTTATTTTGTCTTGATGATTTAAGTTCAATTTAATAGTTTGCATGACCATATGGTACTTTTATCTGGGTTATTTACAGGAGGCTCATTGCTGTAGTCAATGGGGTCATGATTTTCGCCCTGACTACAAAAATCTTGGTATACTCAAAACTCAGTTTCCAAATGTACCTGTAGTGGCTTTGACAGTATGTGGTTCCTTCTCCCTTAATGTCTGCATGCTATTGCAATATTCACTGTGTTCTTAGCTGCAATTTTTGAGCTTAATGTATGACCTTATTCTTAAGATATATTTTGCAGGCAACTGCTACACTGAAAGTCCAGAATGATCTGACAGAGATGCTGCGTATTCCAAAATGCTTAAAGTTTGTCAGCACTGTCAACCGGCCAAATCTGTTTTATATGGTAAAGTTAGTAGTTATTTTCATTTTATCATTAAGAGTTTTCATCTGAACTTATTAGATAATAAAATTTCCTTAAATTGCAGGTTCGAGAAAAGTCATCTGTTGGAAAGGTGGTTATTGATGAAATCACTGAATATATAAAGGAATCTTATCCAAATAATGAATCTGGCATAGTTTATTGCTTTTCCAGAAAGGAGTGTGAACAGGTCTGTGCTTTTTGACACGTGTGGCCACACACACACAGATACACAAAAGAACATCATGTTTTTTACCGTTTCTTTATTGTTCTGTTTCTGGGGGAACCTTTGTTGGAAGTTGTCTCTTGACTCGATTATTCTTATCTTCATTGTTAGTAATGGTTAATAGTCTACTCCTAGGAACAGAAGTTATACTTATTTAGTTCCAAGTCAACATTGGACAGATGCATTGAAACATTTACCTCTGTGTTGCCAATAGAGTGCTCTTGGCATCATGCCTTCATATGTACCAAAATATGTCACTCAACTTATTTGCTTTTATATTCTATGTACTATCTGTTGGCATGTAATTCTCCTTGTCATACTGCATATTTTGCTTGGTGGGGGCAAGTGATATATGGACATAGGAGTCCCCGAAATGGGCATATGACTTGTCTGGCCAGTTTAATTCAAAGACTTTTGTAATCACTGGACTATACTATGGTAGATGCTCTAGCTGTGTTATAGGCATAAATTATAAGTGTTTGTTGATAAGTTCAGTATCTAGTTTTTAGATTTACAATAATTATATATGTACTTTTCCCTCTGTCAAGAGCTGTAGGTTGCAAGTGAGTTATGTGAGAGAGGAATATCAGCTGGTTATTACCATGCAGACATGGATGTAAATGCTCGCGAGAAAGTTCACATGAAGTAAGATCAACTGTTCTTAACTTCAAAGAGTAATCTTGTATTTGTCAAAGCATCTCATTCTCACGTAAACTCTTTTTTTCCTTCCTAGATCTGCACCAAATATATTCTATTGATGAATTACTACAGTATAAATTTTATAATTTTTAAACATCTGTATATTAAGAGGTGCGAAACTTTTGTGATAACTATATTGCCCATTTACTTTTATATTTAAATATCAGTTATGCAATTTTTAATGTTATAAAAGTAAATTTGTATACTAATTTTTTACATATTTGTTAATTTATAGGGTTCTTGATAAATATATTAATTTTTATATTAAAATATCAATTATGTCATTCTAATGTTATAAAAAAATTTCTATACTAATTTCTATATTTTATTAATTAATAGAGTTCAGTTTAGAATAAAGGGAAAATTACAGAAAAATATACTATGGTTGGAGACAAATGAAATTTTCCCCTTGAGTAAAAAATAGTGACAATTTACCACTGACTTTTATTATGTATTCTTAAATTAATAATGTTATTTTCTTTGTTCTTTTAGTTGGCCACATGGTTTTCTTTCTTTGTCCCTCCAATTTCCAGAAAACTTCTCTTGTTCTCTCTAAACCTATAAAACTAATTTTCTAATAACTATGGCTAACTCACTCTAGACCCATTTTACTCCTATCCAAATATTACAAGATGCCCACACAAAAAATAAAAACCCTAGCAACAATTTAAAGAGAAAGGCCATCCACCGCCACCACTAACCATCCATCACTACCTACAAATTCAAGATTCAACAATTACCTATCACCTTCACAAGTCTATAAATCTGCAAGCAAACAATCATTAAACCCGCATCCATGCCTTTTTCAAAATAATTGAGTCTTACAAAACTTGCATTTTGCATGAAATTGATCAAGAGTTTTTAGGGAGTAGTTTTTGAAATTAAAGGAGATAAAGTTTTAGAGAGAGAAAGGCTTGGATAAGGGATGAACAAAAAGTTTTACAGCTGCGGTGATTCAATATCTAGCACAGTTGTTCACCCCACTATATGTGTTTCATGATGCAGATGGAGCAAAAACAAATTGCAGGTCATTGTTGGTACAGTAAGTCTATCATCAACTTTTTGAGATATCGCTCTTGTTTCTCTGTTTTCAGTTGTTATACCACCTCTTGTTTGCCAGGTTGCATTTGGCATGGGAATCAACAAGCCTGATGGTAAGAATGACTTACTGTTGAGAGGGAAAAAGAGAGTTTTTATTCTCTGTTATGAAAAATATTATTTACAGTAGACTATATATATACATGTTAACCATAAAACAGTCCTAAAATAGGAAGTTATCCCAAATATAGAAAACACAATATTAGGCCCTAATAATCAGACACAAAATACAATAATTATTCCTAAAATTATTCCTAAAAAGTCTACCAAACACCAGTCAACACTCCCCCTCAAGTTGGTGTATCGATGTCACACATGCCCAACTTGCAAACTAAAGTATGAAATGGTTTGCTGCTAAGTCCAGTAGTAAACAGATCAGCTAGTTGTTTTCCTAAGGTCACATGAGAAACATTCAAAAAACCATCTGTTAAATGCAGGTCAATCTCTATATGTTTTGTTCGATCATGTTGAACTGGATTGTGAGATATACTAATAGCAGCCTTGTTATCACAGAACAAGGATGGACATTTCCCTTCTGACAATTGCAATTCTTCCATTCCTTTCAGCAGCCATAGTAATTCACAAACACCTTGTGCCATAACTTTATATTTTGCTTTTGCACTTGGCCGAGCTACCACATTATGTTTTTTGCTCCTTCAAGTTTCCTCTTATAAATGTGCAATAACCAGATGTTGGCCTCCTATCATAAGGGGATCTAGCCCAACTTGCATTGGCAAAAGCTTCTATCTGTAGATGACCATGTTTAGAGAAGAGCAATCTTTTTCCAACTTTAGATTTCAAGTATCTTAAAATGATGAAAACAACCTCCAGATGAGAATCCTGAGGGTCATGCATATATTGACTTACCAAACTTACGGCATAGGCTATGTCTGGTTTAGTGTGTGAGAGGTAAATCAATCTCTCGACCAACCTCTGATATCGGCCTAAATCAATTGACTCACTAACCCTTGCTTGTAATTTGTAATTAGCTTTAATAGGAGAGTCTGCAGGTTTACATCCCAACATACCGATTTCTTTAAAGAGATCCAAAATATTTTTTTTTTGAGAAATAAAGATTTCCTTATTAAATTTGGTAACCTCCATTCCAAGGAAATATCGCAACTTACCCAAGTCCTTAATCTGAAACTCTTGAGCTAAAAGGTTTTTGGGTTAGGCAATCTCTTCCTTGTCATCCCTAGTCATAACTATATCATCAACATAAACAATATGTGATCTTACCATTATAGTGTTTAATAAACAAGGTATGATCAACATTGCTTTGATGATATCCAAATGAGATCATTGCGTTACTAAACTTATTGAACCATACCCTGGGTGACTGCTTCAAACCATATAATGCCATCTTTAATCTACAAACTTTCCCTTTAGTCTTCTCATCATTGAATCCTAGAGGAAATTCCATATACAACTCTTTCTCAAAGTTTCCATGTAAGAAGGCATTCTTGACATCAAAGAATCATAGGTCCCAATCAAGGTTAGCTGCACATGATAACATGATTCTGATAGTATTCATTTTTGTAATAGGAGCAAAAGTTTCCTGATAGTCCATCTCATAGATCTGGCTGAAGCCTTTTGCCACTAGTTTAGCTTTGTACCTTTCGACTTAACCATTTTCTTTATGTTTCACTGTAAACATCCATTTGCATCTAAATGGTTTTTTTCCTAAGGGGGAGTAACAAGTTCCCAAGTCTCATTTTTTGCCAAAACCTTCATTTCTTCAACCATTGCCTCTTTCCATTTTGGATCATGATATGCTTCTTGCTAACCCTGTGGAATAGAAATGGAAGAAACAGACAATAGAAAGGTTCTATAGGAAGGAGACAAAGAATCATAGGAAATAAACTTAGAAATAGGATGTTTAGTACTGGCTCTGACTCCTTTTTTGATAGCAATAGGAACATTATGATTATTAGCAATGGAATTGGGATTAGGGCAATCAAAAGTTAAAGGAGACTCACCACATGTATTTTCAAGGACTAAACTCAAAGATGGTGCTTGACCAAGTATGACATGCTTGATGGCTTTATCTGTCTGGTCCCATGGTGTATAGTTTTTCAAATCTGGCCTATCCAACACCCAGTTTTATGTTGTTCCTTGTCATCACTAAGATTTTGACTAAAAGTTGTCACGCTCATTTTGTGCATGAAGGCAAGCCAACTTGATGGCAACGGACTGAGGGTCAAGTGTAGGTGAGCCAGCTCGATGGTGGACAAGCAATGTGGGTTGAGACTTTAATTTTTTGCCAAGGTAACGTTGTGGTGCGCATGCAGTGCGTGGGAAGCCTGAGCCGTCAGAACTAGTAAGCAGATGGTGTGTGGCACACAGGAATGTAGTGCACAGCACCCGGGGATAGATTGGCATGCAGTTGGGGTGCACAGGGAGATAGGTAGATT